ATGTGCCCTGGGGGACACAAACTAGACTCGCGTTTGGTTCTCGACATTATTGTGAGTGGTCGTGGTGACGGCAATAGGGTATAACCAAGCCTATCTTCATTGTAACTGTTTGTAACCAAATTTATGCTAATTGTAACTATGTGTGACTTGGTTACATAAGTTACAAATTAGACTGACATGATCATAGATCGTCACGCTAAAGAAAAATTTAATCACAGTTAGTCATAGATAACACGGGTCGGTGAAAGGTAATATGTATGATCGTGGATTTGAGCTGAAGGTGGTACTAATGGTGCGTTGAAGGTGATGGTGGTTGTAACTTTGGTACTGGTCTGCGGTTTGTATATATTTGTTTGTGGTGATCATATGTGACTAAGTATATGTTTAATGTGATTGGGTGTGACCAATTTTGTGTTAATTGTGATTAGTTGTAACTTGGTTATGTACCGTCACAATTAATATTGATCTCGTCACAGTTAGTCACACTGATGATAAATTTGATCATAATTAATCACAGATAACACAAGTCAATGATTTGAAAATTTTCTGAGGATGGCGTGAGTAGGGATGGTATAAAGTAAGGGGATTAGTGGGGTGGTTTTGGGATCATGTTAATGACTTAATTACATATAATCACAAATTAGTCAGTCGCCAACAGCCACAATGAAGACAAATTTGATCATAGTTAATTACATATAATACAAGTCTGGTCACAAATAACATAGTTAGTGACAAATCTGGGGAGCTGTCGTTAGGGTGGTGTGTAATCTCCAAAATAAAAACTTTATATTTTTTTATGGGGTGAGGTGGCGTGGGGTGGGGGGTGAGCGTGGTGTGGAGCGTGGTTTTAGGGTGGGGTATGAGCTTGAAAAAAGTTTTCAATTTTAAAAAGGTTTGTAGGTGGGTAGCGTACATGGGATAGGTTCGGTGGGTGAGGTGGGTTGGGAATACTATTAATTGGGTTGGGATAATTAATTTCAATTAATCATATGTTATTAATTTGAATTTTGAAATAAATTGATAAGTTTGTTAATTTTGAAATATAATTCTTACACATAAGAGTTGTGTATGGTTTCCTAATTTTAAATTAACAATTTTAATTGTTAATTTGCCCAATGCAAATAAACACGAACCTTTCTAAAATTGTATCACGACTAAACCCAGTGGATCATGAGATAGGATGAGAGCATGAGCGGACCCACATGGGTCATTTGACCCCACAAAATTTTGTATTTTTTTAAAAATCGTTTTATGATCTGCTTTAATACATGTCAAATGAAATCGAAATATTGCATTCTTAATATTATTTTGAAGTGCTCATAAACTAGTTTTTCGCTTCTTAATGGCGTGCGAAATGATCAATCGTAGAAAAAGTAATGATATATCAAAGTAAGCCGCTCCAAATTAGTATTTCGAAAAATTTGATAATATGCTAATTTTTAAAATTTGTCAATGATCATATATTATTTGAATCCACAAATCGTCTGCGTCATCTAGAAGCTTGTTTCAAAAATTATATCGTAGTCATATCGAATAGTCCAAACGGATATTGAAAATAGTTAAACATGTGTCAAACGTATGTACTAAAAAAAACGTTTAACTTGTTTTTCTTTTAAAAAAATTGAATATTTCATTAACGTTTATTCTTTTTGTGCTATAAATTTTTCAATATAATTTACATCATTTTATTAGAAAATTTTACATGGAAGATGACTTTAAAAATTCTAAAATCGTTACGATTAAATGTAATTTGAATTACTTTCAAATTATTTTTTCATTAAAATTAAATTTCATTTACTTCATAAATTAAATGTGAATTTTATTTCAATTCGTTTATTTTCTACATCCAATTTGATTTATTCACCATTAACTCGACATTTAAAAATGACATGGTAAACAAAATTATACATGTAACAAAATTCATTTGACATCATTGATAATGATATAATTATAAGACATTTTCAAGGGATCAAAATGCTTATTAACTTATTTTTATTAATATTATATTATTTTAAAAAATTAAACATTAATTTTTGACTCCACAATCTAAAAAGGTTGGGGCCGCCCCTGGATGAGAGGACTTAGGTGGTATAGGACCGTGGAAGGAGAAGATTGGGTGGACTTTTTACTCTCATTTCTTTCTCTATAAAATTACTAGTATTATTATTTATTTTACCTTCGCAAATTGTACCATATGCTTTGAACAAGCAATCTCTTACCATCCATCGAGATCACTTGTGTCACGATAATGAATGGTTGAGAATAAATTTGCTCGCTTTTGAAAGTTAGATACCAACTTACAGACGCTGTTAACCTCTCGTTAGCCCCTATTTTTGGGAAATTAAAAACTAAAAAGGGTAGAATAATATTTTTTTGAAAAACGAGTGATTAAAAAAGAAGAATTTTTTTTTCGAGTTATGTGTAATATTAAACTATGAAAGATTGTGTGATTGCAAATACAAGAGGAAAAAATGAAATGTAAAGGATTCAAAGGGGGCTAAATCTTCTTGAACATAAAACTTTTGCCAATGGGAATATAAACAGACCAATTTTCGATAATTCGAATCCTTAATTTGAGATAAATGAAAATTAAGATACCAAAATGAAAATTTAGACGGGAAAAATCGGAACATGACCGACTGAAGTTTCATTCTCTTTCAAATCTGCCATTTCGGATTTCTTCCCCTTACGGCTTTCGTTCCTCTGTTCAATTCAGTTTCTCCATGTTCCCCGCTCTCACTCTTCAACAGCTCCTTCGTGTATAGATTTACCTTATTATTTTTTAATAGTAATTTATTTGTTTACTCAAAGCCAGATTTTGACCTCGATCCAATAAAAACACAAAAGGGTTTTGTGATTTAACAGAAGCCCAGTTTCGCGTTTATTATTTAGATGTAACAGTAATTTTCATCAATTTTGTGGCCTAACTTATGATGCCACTGACCCCTTGTTTCGAATTCACTGGTAATAATATCTTCTCTTTATTACTCAATTTGCATTGCGGTGTTCAATCGTCTGCGTGCTTCTTTATTAGTTGTAATTATTCTGGTTGACATTTATTGTATATCATTGCTTAGAATTAATTACAGTGATTGAAGGGATATATTGGCATCTTTCTTCTGTTGCATTTTTGTATTTCTTTTTTAGGATTTGAGTTTATGTGCTGATACTAATTGGATCATATTTTAGGTCAGCAAGTGATAAGTTGCATTTTTCTGGAACAGAGATATTAGAATGAAATCGAAAATAAAATGGGCAGCCCTTGGAGGACTAGTGTTGTCATTTATGTCTCTGTTGGTGCATTTATTTCTTGCCAAGTCAAGCGCTGATCTAGTACAGTACAGTGCAATCAAGGCTTTCAGTGAAGATTTGCAATATGCAAACAGTGCTGGCGTAAAGGTATAAGAAAAGCGCTAAACAGAATTATGCATGTTAGCTTCCCATCTCAAAATTTACTTACAGAACTATATGCATAGATTGTGCAGTGTGTGAGGTTTGATTTAGCTTGTCAGTGCATGAATAATATGTTTGAATATTGCTGAAGGGTGCTGGATCTAGGAAGCTGTGGGGCAAGGTGAAGGCTCTAGAACCTCTGCAGCCATATGCGAAACCAAGAAGCTCATTTCCTGGTAATGTGTGCAAGTCTCTATTCATCTGTCTTGGAATTACTGCCCTGTCCACTAACATATTGAATATCACTAATTACTATTAGCAATGGAAAAATGTATCTTTAGTTAGTTAAATCATGTTATTGTCTATATAATTCACACGATCCATATATATGTGTACATTATGCATTCTTGCCGTGTTATTTGTTTTTCATATTTACACATATATCTCACATGATGATTTTATAACACCTGCATTGTGCGTATAGAAATTCTAGAGATTGCCATGCTTGGTGGAAATGAAATTCAATGCAGAAGTTGCTAGAGAATTCATAAGATAATTTAAGAGAGAGAAAAAATGTAACTAGTTAGATGTGGGGCAAGGTGAAGGCTCTAGAACCTCTGCAGCCATATGCGAAACCAAGAAGCTCATTTCCTGGTAATGTGTGCAAGTCTCTTTTCATCTGTCTTGGAATTACTGCCCTGTCCACTAACATATTGAATATCACTAATTACTATTCGTAATGGAAAAGTGTATCTTTAGTTAGTTAAATCATGTTATTGTCTATATAATTCACACGATCCATATATATGTGTACATTATGCATTCTTGCCGTGTTATTTGTTTTTCATATTTACACATATATCTCACATGATGATTTTTTAACACCTGCATTGTGTGTATAGAAATTCTAGAGATTGCGATGCTTGGTGGAAATGAAATTCAATGCAGAAGTTGCTAGAGAATTCATAAGATAATTTAAGAGAGAGAGAAAAAATGTAACTAGTTAGAGGTAATCCTTACATTATTTTTGTGCTATTGGATAAGAAAAGATGTTTAGAGAAAGCTATTCAAATTCGTTTCTTATATTCACCTCGTGTTTTGATTATCGAAAACTTTGGTGTTCACTATGATTATCATTACCTTCTTGTGGTTTTCATATTTTTGAATCCTTTCCAGGGTTTTTAGTGCTATCGAGCTGTCTTTCTGAGAAGTAAAGGGTAGTGTTCATGTTGATTTATATTTTGAAATCGACATGCATTTTTTATTTTTCAAATAATCTGCTATCAAGTTCAATACTATAATGTATATGAATTTGATATCAAATCTGTAATTTTCCAGTGTGCTAAGTTTATGCAAAAAGGCATAGGAGAATGTTAATAATCTTTGGGCAATTGAAGCAAGAAAAAAAATACAGCATGAAGGTGTTCAAGTTTTATGCTTTTGTTCTGGATGTTGTGGACATAAGGGGCCTGACGATCAAATACAAGGCCAAATGGGGAACGGAAAGAGCCTAGGCTAATTTGACGTAGGCAGGGTTGGATCTCTGAGTAGGTCTTGGGAATGTTGGATGTGAGCAGAATCTGATATGGTTGTAGCACAAGGAGGAAGTGATTGAGAAGCAAACAACGATAAGGATCTGGGATTGTTTTAAACTCCGACAAACATTTGTTTTGAATCTGTGTGAATGAAGTGCACCAGAGTTGTGAAGCTATCAACTGAAATCTTTCATCTGTATTTTTTAATGAACAATTGAAACTCACTTCTTCACTGTTTGATTGTCAATGCTGCATTGCAATAGTATTAACACCTTAGATACTTTTTATGTTTTTACACTTCAATACTACTAAGACTCAGTCTATCTTTTCCATAGCTAGTCCTACATTTGGGTGAAGGAGGAATCTGTGATAGTTTTACATCCATGTAGAACTTTGTCAAGTCGTAGGACATGAATCTAATACAAATGCACTTCTATTGCTAGCATTGTTGTTTTCTAGAAGAATTCTAAAGTAATTAGTTTCATTAACACTTCGATGTTAATTATATGTTGTGAAATAGAAGGAATTAACTCTTATTAATATGTAACAGAGTCAATACTTGCAGAATGATTTTTTTGAAGTGTAAAATCTCAAATACATTGTCCTGTAACATAGTGAAAGACAAAGAAAATAGCCAAATACGAACAAATGTGACTGGTTTTCCTTATGAGTAACTTATAATTTTCGGTTGAAGTCAAATTTTAATCTTAGGGGGCATTTGTTTTCCATTTTTGCAAAAATGAGAATGAAAAATATAGTCATTATGACCCACACAAGAGATTGAAATTCAAATTTGGTGG